AACATGGCCTCCCCGCCCCACCAGCAGCTGCTCCCGCACCACAGCACCGAAGTGAGCTGCGACTCCAGCGGAGACAGCAACAGCGTGAGGGTCAGAATCAACCCCAAGCAGCTGCCGTCCAACAGCCACCCCAAACACTGCAAGTACAGCATCTCCTCCAGTTGTAGCAGCTCCGGGGACTCGGGGGGTGTCCCCCGGAGAGCGGGCGCCGGGGGCCGCCTGCGCAGGCAGAAGAAGCTGCCCCAGCTGTTCGAGAGGGCCTCCCGCCGGTGGTGGGACCCCAAGTTCGACTCGGTGAACCTGGAGGAGGCTTGTCTGGAGCGCTGCTTCCCGCAGACCCAGCGCCGCTTCCGGTACGCGCTGTTCTACATGGGCTTCGCCTGCCTGCTCTGGAGCATCTATTTTGGGGTCCACATGAGATTCAAACTGATTGTCATGGCAGCCCCCGCTCTGTGCTTCCTCGTGGTGTGTGTGGGCTTCTTCCTGTTTACCTTCACCAGGCTGTATGCCCGACATTATGTGTGGACCTCGCTGGTCTTCACCCTCCTGGTGTTCGCTCTGACCCTGGCTGCCCAGTTCCAGGTTCTGACGCCTCTCTCAGGACGCGTTGACAGCTCCAATCATACTCCCGCAGCTAAGTCCACAGTCACTTGCTTATCTCAAGTGGGGAGCTTTTCCATGTGCATCGAAGTGCTCTTTTTGCTCTACACCGTCATGCACTTACCTTTGTACTTGAGCTTGTTTTTGGGAGTGGCGTATTCTGTTCTTTTTGAGACCTTTAGCTATCATTTCCAAGATGAAGACTGCTTCCCCTCACCCGAAGCAGGGCCCGGGCACTGGGAGCTGCTGAGCCGGGCCCTACTCCATGTCTGCATTCATGCCATTGGGATCCACCTCTTCATCATGTCCCAGGTGAGATCCAGGAGCACCTTCCTCAAGGTGGGACAGTCGATTATGCATGGGAAGGATCTGGAAGTGGAAAAAGCCCTGAAAGAGAGGATGATTCATTCTGTGATGCCAAGAATCATAGCTGATGACTTGATGAAACAGGGAGATGAGGAGAGTGAGAATTCTGTGAAAAGGCATGCTACCTCCAGCCCCAAGAACAGGAAGAAAAAGTCTTCTATTCAGAAAGCCCCTATAGCATTCCGCCCATTTAAGATGCAGCAGATCGAAGAGGTCAGTATTTTATTTGCAGACATCGTGGGCTTCACCAAGATGAGTGCCAACAAGTCTGCTCATGCTCTGGTGGGTCTCCTCAATGATCTGTTTGGTCGCTTCGACCGGTTGTGTGAAGAGACCAAGTGTGAGAAAATCAGCACCCTGGGAGACTGCTACTACTGTGTGGCAGGGTGCCCCGAGCCCCGGGCCGACCATGCCTACTGCTGCATCGAAATGGGCTTGGGCATGATAAAAGCCATCGAGCACTTCTGCCAGGAGAAGAAAGAAATGGTGAACATGCGTGTTGGGGTTCACACAGGGACTGTCTTGTGTGGCATTTTGGGCATGAGGAGGTTTAAATTCGACGTGTGGTCCAATGACGTGAACCTGGCCAATCTCATGGAGCAGCTGGGAGTGGCTGGCAAGGTTCACATTTCCGAGGCCACTGCAAAATACCTAGATGATCGGTATGAAATGGAGGATGGGAGAGTTACTGAACGCCTAGGCCCGAGCGTTGTTGTTGACCAGTTGAAAGGTACGTGTATTTCTTTGCCTAGTCATTTCCCTCCCTAATCCTGTTTGTGTTGAAAAAACAAAACAAAAACACAAACCAATCTCTTTCCAGCGTCAGTATTTGTCTCGATACCTTACTGTGGGGGCATCTCAGAGCCAGTAGGACTTTCCCTCCATTGAGTCAAATATCACAGATTTGTTCACACTGTGGCAGTGCTGACCTAGGTGAGACCATAGAAGGAAGTAGAACTTTGAAAATGTATCTCCTTGCCAGTTGGCTGTTAATAAATTTCTGAAATTCTGGGGGCAGGCCTGATGAATGTCAGGGTACCTTTGAAGCCCTGCAGTCAGAACTTTGTAGCACTTTAAGAAGTTGCCTTTGCATTTCATTTGGTCACCCTTAAGTCCCATTAAAACGTTTTCTTGTGCTCTTTTCCAACAATGTGAAGAATAAAACATTTCTCCTGTCTAGGCCTCCCTTTGCTGGGACAAGGAAGTCAGCTCAGCCCTGTAGGACTCTGAAAATTAGATGGAATCATGTACTCCTAAGTGTACACTCCCTTTGCCTATGTCTCTTTAAAAAAAAAAAAAATTTGCATTTTCAGCTTTCAACTTTATTTAACGATGCTTATCATGGTATTTGTATTATCATATAGACTATAGTATTTTAGAATGTTGAACTTCTCAAATCATCAGGTGACTTGAAAGTAAGCAGTGCACTCAGAGCAATATTTAGACCCCCTACCTCCAGCCCCTCAGATTAGTATCTGGTCCCTTGTCCAAGTCTTAAGTTCCTTACTGCTATTCTTGATGTTTTCACTGGGCTTCTTTAATTTTATTGTTTTCATACAGGACAAAAATATTTGAAGTCTAGGAAGTGATATTTAAGTAAGTGGGAACAAAACTAAGGATCGTAAATAACACTTTTAAAAAATAGTCCTTATATTTTACTAAAATCTTCCAGATTGAAGGAACATCTACTTAGGTAGTATGTAGAGAAAATCACATTGATTTTTAAAAGCCTAAATCAGTAAAGCTATATGATATGTTTTATTGTGCCCACATGTTGCATAATTACACAGTGAAAAGCCCCAGGAAAGGGAATCCTCAGAAGGAGAAGTAACAGCTCAAATCAGAGATGGGGGAAGTAATCGGAGACAGTACATGGTTGAGTTTGAGGGCCTGAATAGGTTGTCAGCCTTCAGACAATCCTATATGCTCAATTGATATTTTCTTTCTCTGCTTGTGATCAGAGTTCCCCACATCATTCACTTATTGGTTATCTGGCCAGGGTGCTTTATCCTTCTTCTGATTTCTCTTTAGTAAAACTTTATTAGAAGTTGTGTTTCTTGGGCAGGCCTGTAGGTAATTTTGCTAGTAGTTGAATAATGATGTAGTAGAAGAACATTTTCACCTGATAATTACCTCTATCTAGAGCAGTGGTTCTCAACGTTGGCTGCACATTAGAATCACCTGGGAATCTTGTTAAAATCCTGATTTCTGGGCCTCATCATTAGCAACAAACAGAATTTCCAGAGGATGAGGCCCAGAAATCAGGATTTTAACAAGATTCCCAGGTGATTCTAATGTGCAGCCAACGTTGAGAACCACTGACCTCGAGAGTTTTAAATGCTACATTGATGAGGTCAGAAACTACTCTTCGCAGTTCACTTGAGAGATTCTTCCATGAGAAGTGTTTTTCCCTGTAGGAGAGTGGCTCTCGCTCTGGACTCTGAAGGTGCCAGTGGAGTGGGGTGCAGATGTAATTACTGCTAGACATTTTGGCCTCTTTAGGCTCTGTCCTCAGAAATAGTGGGTTAGATTACAGAGAATGGAGCTGTGCTATACTATGTAAAATTAAGTATGACAATGATAGCAATTCTGTCAGGGATACTTTGAACAGGGCATTACTTGAATTTCAAAAATAAGAACAGATGTAATCATTAAGTATGTCTGGAAATGGCCAAGTCTTTGAATTTTTGGCATACCCAAATTAACAAAAAATTTTTGTTGATTGATGGGTAATTTTATTTTCAGTTTATGGACCAAGGGTCTAAAGACGCAGGCGAAAAAATCTAGAATGGGTTTGTTGATTTTTTTAAAAAACTTCAAATAGTGTATGTAAATTTGGTAAATTCCCTTTTTCTCTAAATTGTGTGTATTATGTATTTATAAGGAAAA